ACCGCCCATGGAGCAGGCCGTCCACAGCCCGGTGCTGCCCGCGGAGGACGCGGAGGTGCCGAAGTCCACCTGCGGCTGCGTGCGTGTGGCGCGGAGCCGGCTCTGTCCGCTGGGGGCCACGAAGGCGGTGCAGGCCATCGTCAGGGCTGCGCCCACGCCCAGCAGGGCCACGCTCCTTGGCATGGACGACATGGCTCAGATGGCTTGCTTCGGCAGGGGGTCGGCCGCGTCTGAGCCAGACGGTGCAGGATGGAAACCTCACAAGCCACTCCAAGTCTCTGTAAACATTCATCTAGCGGCATTGCAATGACGATCAAGGACCTTTGTGACAAAATTTTCATTGCTACACTTGTCGCTGCGACGAACGATCGCTGTCTCCAGCTTTGTGAACCAATGCTATCAGGAGTACTGTGGATATTGTTCCTGGTTTATTTTTTTGGCAGTGTATCTATGCTGGTTGTATAGTGCGCGTGTCATAAGGAACCTTCTTAGGAATTATTTAGGGCTTAGGGTCGAGGGTTTCCCTGCATTAACGGGTATTCTTGATGCTTGCTGCATCCCTTTCACGGGTACCTCCCACGGGCAGCCTTTTTTACTCTCTTGCCATCAGTCGTGGCATTCTAAAAAGGGATCTTGCCGTAAATGGGAAAGGATCCTCCAACAAAATTGTTGGACCTTACCGCCCTACAGCTTGAACCCTAATCTAACCTTCCAGCCCGGATTGAGGCCATGGTTTTTAAACAGGGTGAGGTGCCTTCCACCACGTAAGGCCTCGACATGTGAGACGCAGCGGGCACTACTTGCGCTGCAAAGACGGACTGCAGAGGAAGATCCTGTGCGGCTTCTCACTGTTTTTCTATTATATGATTTTGTACGGGACCCGTAAAAGGTACATAGGGTTTCAGAAAAGACAAAGCACATAGGTCTTGGCTTTAGGGTGTACATAACGGCTTTACGTCGAGAGCCGGCTCTCGTTTGCTTGTCTCCAAGATAGGGTGGTTGAGTAGAGGTTTGTGAGGGTATACTTAATTCATAAAGGATCATGGGACATAGTGACTAGGGTTATAACTAAGGTAACGATACTCAAAAGTACTTATAACACCAATTAGGGTAGTTATATCCCCACTTACTAAGTCCCATGATCCTCCAAGTAAGGTTTAGGGGTTTAAGGTTTAAGTTTCGCATATCGACTTCTGGGAATTCCGGCGCCGCATGCTTGATTTCAGCGATGTACGAAAGCACAAGCACAGCAGGGGGTTCCTAATCCATAAACCCTAGAATGCAATATAGGGGCCTTAATAATTAGAATAGGGTTTTGGGGCTCCTTTAAAGGGCTCTCTGTAAGGGCTACTATAAGGGTTTAGGGTTTAGGGGCCTTAATAATTAGAATAGGGTTTTGGGGCTCCTTCAAAGGGCTCCTTAAAGGGCTACTATAAAGGGTTTAGGGTTTAGGGGCCTTAATAATTAGAATAGGGTTTTGGGGCCCATTGTACTATAGTTAGAATGAGGAATCCCAAAATAGTATTGGTAATCATTTAGGCCCCTGCATAAGTGCTGCTCACGGCATCGAATGGGGGCAGGGAATGCTCGGGATCACGAACGGAAGCATGATTAGAAAGCTGCATAGTAAGGACAGCGTGACGACACTCTCATAGAAAAGGGTTTTGGGGAGATTAAGCTATAACCACAACACAGCATGGTACCCTAAGAACTAGTATCACTGCATACTCAGGATTCTATCAGGCTTCTTTATCATTGTTATGTACAAGTGAAGGCAGAAGCAAAGGCACCACCAAGGCGTGTAGTAGTGGCAACCAAGGCAGAAATAACAGTAGCAGGATCTCTTGCCACACACATGGGTAGTTCTCTAAACTAGGGTTCCTTTTTTAGGTCCCCGATATAGTACGGCACCCTCTTTTAAGAGGACCCCAACATGGGGCCCTATTTTAGAGAACTACCCACATGGCAATAGCAGCACAAGCAACACAAACCCTTTCACGCTGCTTAGCAGGACTGGAAAGGCACACACCGTATCGAGGTTTAGGATGTCTGGCATAGCGCGGCGTAGTAGAGCTTCTAGTATACAAACTAGGCAATACGGTCCCCTTCATGGCTTCCGATAGGTAGGGCGAGGAGCTGCCCTCGTGCGTACAGGAAGTTGTAACTGCAGCTATACTAACCATAACCGCACGTATAACAATCCGTGACCCTTGAGTGCCAAGTGCCATCCGCAAGGATTGCTTTCCTCAATCGGCTACAGTGACGGCCGGCGTGCTGGAACGCAGAGAGGAAGGACCCTATACCGCGAGAATCCTGAGCGAATCTGGGAATCCCTAAACCCTAAACCCTCAACTCCCATGCCTCCTGAACCCTAAGCCGCTCTTAAACCCGACACCCTAAACCCCTAAACCCCTAATCAGGCAACACCAATCTTTTTCTCGTCCTGACACCTAAACCGCCGAAACGCTGAAGCTCCAAACGCGCTAAATGCCATGCGACCGAGTGTTTTCGGAGTGTACTAGTAGCAGGCAACAAGGAGTGCTAAGCTACGACTAGAGTGTTGCAGTGGCTGGGGAGTTTCCGGAAGGAGTAGAGTACTCCCAGAGTTCCGAAAACAGTGGAGTTTTGCTGCTTTAGCCAGTACTTCAATCACTGCTACTTACTACTCCTCCTCCTCCTCCTCCTACTCCTACTCCTCCTCCTCCTCCTACTCCTACTCCTACTCCTCCTCCTCCTACTACTGCTACTACTACTACTACCACCACAACTACTACTAATACTACTACTATTACGACGACGACGACGACTACTACTACTTCTCCACCTGCTGCTGCTCCTACTATCCGGTGGCGTGGGAGGCTTACGCACATTAACTGGGTGTCCCTCTGAGGGGCCGTGTTAACAGATCACTGCAAATTTCAGTGTTCAGGGCTTAACGTTGAAGAAGTACCTTCCGGGATACCCTACCTTGGAACAGCTTCCGAACATTAGGGATCCCTTGCAGCGTCCTATGCTATGCAGTTCTATATTGGACACTCCCTTAGAGAGTCGTTTGTTCAGCGACAGACCGGGCAGCCTAAAACCCGACCATAACCCCTGAACGCTTAACCGTTCAGGGTGTTACGATTTCACAGTTCAGGGTCAGAAGTCTTCGGTTTCTGGGCTTTTAGGAGACTCAGGGCTAACGGCTGGACTTCAGGTTTTGAGGGCAGAGAGCCTGCGTATGAAGGAGTTCTTGGCTGTGGTGTTTAGGGCGGTGGGGCTGAGGTGCTGCTTGAAGCAACCCCCCAGAGAGACCTTAGTGCCCGCAACTCCTGGGCCTAAACCCGACAGCCTCAGCCCTATTCTAGGGTTTAGGGTTTAGGGTTTAGGGTTTAGGGTTTAGGTACTACAAACCCTACCCGAGCCAACAAGACACTGAACTCAAAAGCAAAACCTGGCAACATCATATAGGAGCGTGCAGAACCCCATAAAGCACTAAGCCCCTCCGCGACCGTCTTCAGAAATGGATTCCTCGAGCTTGCCTGCCGTCAGCTGTGGCAAAGTCAACAGTTGGTGATCGCTTGGGGTCTTTGGAAGAAGGGTCTAAGGTACGCAGACGGCATAGGGACATGTATGTTTTATGTCTGTGTGTGCATATGTATATATGTATATATGCGTGACTATGGTTTTTTGTATATATGTAATCTTCACACGCTGCCAGGTCTACTTGGGCTCTGCGGTCTACAGGTCACCTGTATCATCGAGGCAGAGTGTGTACGTGCGACCCATAAAGGCAGTTTGCTGGTATCATCACAATTCTAAATCTCTCAGTCCAAAAAAGCTACCTTAGAAGCCACGCCAGGGCACTTATGACGTGTACTGCTCCGCGCCTCCAAAACCACTCGGAACCCTACAACCTGTCTGTAAACTCCAAAGCCCTAAAAACTCCGAGCCTTCCTTCCTTCTAAACCAAACATCCTGCACGTTTAAGAATTCGAATCGGAGGGTTTAGGGGTTTAGGGTTTTTAAGGTTTAGGGTTTGGGGATTTTAGGGTTTGGGGGTTTAGGGTTTAGGGGCTGTCCAAAATTGTGGAATGCCAGTGGCCCAACGCTATCCCCTCAATTTGCCCCGAAGGTGGGATCAAGGTAGGTGGCGGGTAATGCAAGAGGGTGTTCTTATACAAGGGATCCTTAGTCCTACGTACCGTCATCCCATCTTTTCAGGCCTCCGACCTCATTGACAATATTTGACGCTGCACTTGCCTGAGTAACTAGGGTGAAAAATTGAGGTAATCAATTATACTGGTACACTTAGGTACCTAGAACCTCGATAAAGGTACACATAACCCCACTTACTAGGTCCCATGGGTTGGTAAGTCCGTAAGCAAGCTTCTGGCTGTTCAGCGTTCAGGCTTTGAGAGCTGGGGTCTTGGCTTTACAAAAGGTGGGAGTCAGGATTGAATGGACCCTTGGGGATATAGTCCTTCTCAATAAAATCCCTCTTTAGTGGGCCATAAGTAGGGTTAAGAAGGGTCCCCTTTAAAGGGGTCTCCCTAATGCTACCTAGGAATAGGTGCCGTCACAAGCAGATTCAGACTTTGAGGCATAATACTCTAGTGTGACTAAACTTAAGGAACCCAAAAGGAATCACGTCCCTAAACCCTTAAGGAATAGTATACAATATAGAACTATCATAAGGAGCTCTAAGTGAGGAGTAGTATACAACACAAAATCATATGTTATCAACAACACTAAGGGAAGAGTGTACGGTATGGGTAGTTCTCTAAATTAGGGTCCCTTTTTAGGTCCCGAATATAGTACAGCACCCTTATAAAAGGGACCCCAAAAGAGACCTGAATTTAGAGAACTACCCATATACCGTTCTAAAACGGAGCCCTAATTTAGGAACAATGGCCGCCTCCTCACCCTCGGCCTAAACCCTAAACCCCTAAATCCTTAAACCCTAAACCCCAAAACCCTAAACCCTTAAACCCTAAGCCGCTTACCCTCGGCCTGCTTCAGAGGCTCTTGGCCGCTTTTGCTGCGCGGTCGTCCTGGACGCGCTTGAGGGCCTGGCCGACAGGATGTTTAGGGTGTTTAGGGCGCAGGGTGTTCAGGGGTTTAGGGTTTAGGATGAAGGGTTTAGGGCTTAGGGTTTTGCGGTTTTAGGGTTTTAGCGTGTTTAGGGTTTAGGGTTTGCGCTGCCTGTGCAAGCTCGACTTCAATGATGGCTTTGTTGATGCTGTTTTGCACTGTTACTGCTGCCGGTGTTGGTGATGCTGCCGCAGCTGGCCGTTTCAGAAACCTCTCAGTAGATCTGCATGAATAGGGACTAAGTGTGTAGGGTCTTGGAGTATACCTGGAGTTGCGCCGCCTCCATCATCCTGGTGGTGTACTCCTGGCGGGTGTACTTGTCCACCTCCTCGGCCGGGACGAGCTCGTCCATGTTGGGCTGGGGCAGCGCGAACAGGTTGGGCACATCCGCGAAGGCCATCACGCGGGCTTTGACGAACATGGTGGTCAGGGGGTCCGCCTCGTAGCCCTTACCCTGGTACTTGGTGAACTTCAGCTCGGACTGCTGAGGGTTGCCACGGATGGTGAAGGGGCGGCCGTTCACCTGCACACGTCCCTTGTTCACCTTCTCGGGGAAGACGCCATCAGCCGGGTGCATGAAGATCAC